AACATTTGGGTAGAATTGGAACATTGATTGTGAACCAGGCATTCTCGTCCAGCGCCAATGCCTGACCTCACAATCGCCCCAAAAATGCTGTAGAAAGCTTTCCCAGAGGATTGGATGGCAGAAGGGTCAATTCCATATTAATGCCCATGGTTTTGGAGTGGGATGTCCAACAAGCTGACATAGGTGTGATGGTCGTATGTCCACATACTTTTGGCCATATAATCTACCTACTTACCTTACCTGCCTGTCTGTATCAGACGGACATTGCTTGAAATATGCACAGCTATAATGAGACAACATACAGTCTTACAATCTCTCCATCCCTCCATTTGCCCATCTGCTTGTTTAGATAGGATTATCACTTTCAGCAATTACATAATCAGTCTTTAGGGCATTTAAATGACCATCACTAATATCCCCACAACAACTGTTTTCCTCCACTTCATCCCAACAGAAGGTACAATATGTATTCAGTATTAAAGCCTGTGTCTGTTAGAATGTGCTGGTAATGTTGTTGACTGTTTGCGAGTAATTTATCATTTCAGTCAGTAGACTTTTTCATATTGTGCCACCTGCTCTGATTGCACTGTTTTTCCAAAAAGGTGTCTGGAAATGTTGTTTGACTCAGGCGGAGGTTGCAGCATGGCAGAATCCTATGAGATGTATCATTACAAGGTTAAGCTGTCAACCTTGAGGAATATTTATCTCTGAGAAAGAGAGATTAAGATCTCATATTCTTCCACATTTTCCATCACAGCCTTCACATGAGTTAGAATCCGACCTCTAGATAAACAACCATGATAGAAAAAATATCTCTTTAAACAGTCACGACACTCTGGTGTTTTTTTATTAAAAACACAACCTATTTAAGGCTGTGCATTCCAGTGATTTTACTAAGGTTAAGGCACAACACAAAGCAGAATATCATAAAAAACTGATAAACTACATGTTCAGTTATTTTTTTAAATATTATTTATATGAAGAATAAATACAGTAATCATTCTAACACTGATTACTATTTATCTTTTTATTTATTTCCTTTTATTTAATTTATCTTATTTTTTTACTATATTTGTTGTTGTTGTTATTATTATTATTATTATTATTTTTCCTTCCTTGTTCAAATGCTGGGTTTTATCTCTTTCCACTTGACTGAGCCAATCGAAGTTTTCAATTTTTTTTCATTTGGAAGTTACATTTCAACGTCAATGATCAGATTCTCCGATTTGCATCTTCGGTGACAAAATGATGATGTAGACAGATTTTCGAACATAAAGGGTGATGGCAGTCCTTTGCTGTTTTGCACTGGGGGGAAGTGTAAAGCCCTGTTCAGTCAATTAAATCTGACCTTGTAAATTGTCAGCCAATCATATCAGACCTTGTAAGCTGTCAGCCAATCATATCAGACCTTGACACCAGAGACGCTCTGCTGAGCCATCAACGTTAGTAGTTTGCACTCATCGCTATTATAATACACTGAAGTTCTGATGGAGCTACAGGCGTTTAGTCCTTCATATAGTGGCCTTACAGAGAAATGCTTATACTGCTGCTATAGCTAACCTTATTAGCATTAACCAGAGCTGCTGTTAAAGATCTTTTTCTGGATTTCCGCCTCTGGACACTTTCTGCTACAAGATGAACATATAAGACTTGCAGCATGAGCTTTTATCGCCCAAGCATTGTGAAATAAAGTTAAATGAGTGGAAAATAGAAAGGGTCTCCTAGCTGGTCAGTTGTGCTAAACAAGTGATACCTTGTTCTGTTTCAGCTTAGTTTTCTGCTTTAAAACATTGAAACTGCTGTCATCAGTGGATTTTGATTTAAAAAACCTTACTAATTTAAAACATGGAGATTCATGAGTTGTCTAGATTGACATTAGTCGTGGGCTGGAGGTTAGGGAACCAGCCTTGTGATCGGAAGCTCGCCAGTTCGATCCCCTGAGCCGACAGTACGTGACTGAAGTGCCCTTGAGCAAGACACCTAACCCCCAACTGCTCCCCGGGCGCTGTGGATAGGGCTGCCCAGCACTCCGGCAAGTGTGCTCACTCCTCTAGTGTGTGTGTTCACTAGTGTGTATGTGGTGTTTCACTACACAGATGGGTTAAATGCGGAGGAGTAATTTCCCCATTGTGGGATTAATAAGGGTCACTTAGCCTTAATCTAATGTCTGACAGAAGACAAACATTTTCTGTTATTTTGCTTTTTTAAGAACAGTATACAGGTCAGTTGGTTTCATACACTTCATGTCCAAAAGTACCCAGACAACCATTCTAATTAGTGAATTCAGCTACTTTTAAGTGGATCAATTGCTGACACCAGTGTTCAGCTTGTATTATCTCTATGGAAAAGCAGTGCTAATTAAATGGGATGATGTGGAACAGCCATACAAAATGCCTGATCGGTGTATAGAAGATAAATGGCAGGACAGTCCATTTATTATATAACGATCTTTGTACACAAAACACCAGTTTGTTCATGATACTCAGCTGTTTCCTTTCCCTGATTGTACCATGTTACACGTTTTACACCAGTGATTTCCATCTCCCCCCTGAGGATCTCTGTAGATTTACCCCAGTCTTAATGACCTTGATTCCCATCTTTATTCACATGCAACAACAGTCTTTTATACTTTGGATCCTCCAACGAAAGATGTCACTGCATTAGTTTTACAGCCAATTAAAATTCTGAAGGACCTGCTCACTGACAGATTTATCACGTTTCTGCCCTATACAATGACTGATCAAGGTGTTTCCCACTAGCAATGCCATAAAATTGGGCTATTTCTGGGTTCTGACATCTTTTCCCCTCTATAATAATGCAAATGATGAGCCTGGTGTTTTTATTTCTGGCTGATGAAATCTAATCAGGGTGCTGGCAGCATCATCACACAAGCTGGAAATGCACCGACAAGGTTACGAAGATGTATAATTCATTCAATTTAGTTTCAGTTGTTGATTTGCAGGAAGAAAAAAATAGCATGACATTTTTTTGTCTGAAACGGCTTAAACCTGACTAATCACAGTACCAGTCTGCAAAAAACAGGCACAAGTTTGGGAAAACCTACTCTTGGAAGGTTTTTCCTCTTTATTTGTATTATTTTGTAATTTTTAATTTTTTTTTTTATTTGTTGTTGAGGCATCAAAACTATTATATGTGCAACAAATTAAGAATTACTCCATCAGAAATATCAACCTTCTTCCTAATAGGGCTAATTAGGCCCCCAGCTGCCCGTTTTACCCATTTCAATACTCATTTTACCATGCCCTCGTCAAATAGGGCTCACTGTTTACCTTTGGAGGAATTTCCAGTGCCGTCTTAAGGGTCTCTCCCTTACTTTCGTAGCTCAAGTGAAGTTCGTCAGATAAGCTTTCAGAGGGGCAAAGGATCGAGTGAACACAAGTATCGACTTTGGCAGCAGAGCTTGCAGAAAAATCATTGTGATCTGACAGTTTGGATTCCAAACGCCTAAAAATGGTGGGCCAAGTTTTATGAGCAACAACAATAAAATATTTTAAAAGACCTAATATTTTAAAACTTTAAGATTATATTTGCTCTTGGATTTAAGTAGCAAATTAGTCCATCTGTTATTCATGACTGCTGATACAACTTCAGTGCTCTGCTAGCTTGCTAGTTAGCAAGCTAAAGGCTACTCAGCTAGCATCAACAAAAAGAGAGATATTTACATGGATAGTTGTTTTGTGTTTAGTAGAGTTATGTTCAGATTTCTTCTCAAAAACCATTTCGCATTACAGATTTGCATATCTAACTAATTCACTCAGTGAGTCTAACCTAACTGAGGGCAACTATTTTCCAATTGAACTTCACCATTTAAAATGATTTCATCAGCACATTTCAAGCATTTAAGCACAGTCAGCTTTTTACAACCATAAACTAGTTTTAAATGTTGAGAAAACTAAATTTACGTTGTTTTCCAGAGCCTCTAACATTGATTTTAGCACTTTTAAAATCACAACCATGAAGGGATCTGACAAGAGAGAGTCAATGAGTACAAACTTATTTTATTATTGTCAATTTATTGTCTAACATCTATTTCTTTTATTTCATTAACTCATGTTTTTATTTATTTTATCCTTATCTGCTTACTTGATTAGTTACTATATTGTAATTTTAATCGTTTATTGATTTAACAGTTTATTGGTACTTTCTTATTATTAAATTTTACTTTTATACATACATACATCATCTAAACCGCTTATCCTTCTGGGTCACGGTGGGGTGCCTGAGCCTATCCCAGCTGTCATTGGGCGGAAGGCAGGATACACCCTGGACAGGTCGCCAGTCCATCGCAGGGCAGACAGACAGACAGATTCACACCTAGGGGCAATTCAGCATGTCCAATCGGCCTGACTGCATGTTTTTGGACTGTGGGAGGAAACCGGAGTACCCGGAGGAAACCCACGCAGACACGGGGAGAACAGGCAAACTCCACACAGAAATGACCCTGGTCACCCGGCCGGGAATTGAATCCAGGCCGTTCTTGCTGTGAGGCGACAGCGCTACCCACTGCACCACCGTGCCGCCCTATTTTACTTTTATGATTCTTATTATTTAATTATAGCATTTGATTTATTTTTTTTACTGTACAACTTCTCAATCCCTGATTCCTGTATTACTCAGCTACATTGTCAATGAGGGTCTCTCTTAATGTATTCAGAGTTTAAATAAAGGTTGACTGATTGATTGAAGTACCTTTAGAAGACTTCAGGATTATGAAGAATGTACCATCTTAGAAGTTAAAGTGCAAGTAAGGATTTTGAGGTTCTAACGAATGTTTCAATGTAAATAAGATGCGTAAAGAACCTTTAAAAGGCTGGAGAACCAATACATAATGTAAAGGTTCTGTACCAGTTCATTTTTTTCCTAGGACTGTACATCTGTGCAAAGAACCATTTAGAAAAAAGATTATCAGTTCGGTCGAAACATTGCACGACTACTGAATATAACAAATAGCGTCAATGACTTGTGTTCTTCTCTCACAGGTATAGAGAGCATGGAGTGCTCCTTACCGATGGACGGCCGTCGCGTGCCTCTCAGTCAGCTCTCCCAGGACAGTTTTCGGGAGTGTCAAGTCACGCTGACCCTCACTGACTTCCTCATTATCATTTTCTCCGGCATCTCCGTGTCGGTGGCGGCCATCATGGCTAGCTTCTTCCTGGCCTCCACCGTCCACTGCTTCCAGCGCTGGAGCAAAGGCACCAAAGGAGAGGACGAGGAGAACGAGGAGTGAAGAGGAACTGTGACTGAAACTCTACTAAAGTTAGGATAATCTGAATGATCAGCTCTACAGTTAGAGCTGAGATGCTGGATAAAGGAAGGAGGATGTGGCATCTTTGGTTGATAAAAGCAACACAACGGTATTACAAAGAATGGTTGATCACCATTGGACAGGTATTATGGAAACTAGCCATAGTATTCAAATTTCTATGTGCATTATTATGTTTATCCTGCCATTCAGTGTTACAATTCGGTGTCTTTAGTAAAGTATTTCACTGAATAATGATAACAATAGTCAAAATAAAATTTTAAATCACCTAAAAATAACCATGCCACTGTTTTATTCTGCCAAATTAGCACAAATAAGCAGCTTCAGTCCTTGTTTGAAGCAAGTTGATAGAGATTATGGCTGACATACGTAAGAAAAAGTGCATGAAAGAAAGATTATAATAATATCTCGACATTATTTGGCCATTGCAGTAAGATTGAAGTCGTTTTCCTGGGTAGATCCAGTAGATTCTTATATTAAATTCTGAAATAATCATGCAAACTTTAAAGTGGCGAGATTTCTAGTTTAAGTGAGTAGCTGTGTCAAATACTGCACTTTAACGTGGTGACTGTTTTCCCTGCCAAAGATGATGTTTAGGAACGAGGGACAGTGACAGAGAGTCTAATGTGTTTGAAATAGAAATTTATTTTTGCTTTCGAAGAGTCTGATGTATAATCAAATTACATACTCAATGTAATTGTGATATTGCATATTTACCTGAGTGTGATTTCACATTTTTTGCTTCCAGAGGATGACGTTGAGAAAAAAGACACAGAAAAAAACAGAGCTTCCTTTCATGCATCGTTATATCGTTGCTCATGTCTTACTCAAAAAGAAATATTGGTATAACTTCATGTATCTGTTAAGTGTTGTCCTGTATGAACTGATAGGAACATGGAGTACTGATGTACATGATGCCCATCTTTACTGTGACAAATGAATATGAAATATATATATATATATATATATATATATATACACAGCATATATTTACTGTATTTGATATGTATGTATACACACATACTGTATTATGACATATATTAGAGATGTGCATTCTGATTCATTTTAAACCCGAACACCGCAATTTGCGGGCAAAACAAGAAGTCACTTCTAGTCTTCATAACTTCACAGCGGTTTAAGCTACAGATCCACATACAAGGACATTCAGCAGACCCGCCCCTAACTTGTTCGTGTGATGTCATCGAGCTGTGACATCAGCATCAGTGAGCAATTCGGCTCAGAAAAACACCTAAAATCCTGATACTATTGGTCTGATTATTGACCTTCATATTCCAACAAAGGGTTAAAACAGTGACATGATTCACACATCAGATCACTCATCAGACTCTGCTTCACCATCCAGAGTGATTTCATCCACCTGTGACCGTCTATCAGCCAGAAATCCAGCTCCAAAATCACCCAAACCCACTCGCTACTGTTACACTACATCTCTGCTTTTTAGCCTTCATATTACAAACAAAAGGTTAACACTAGCGACATGATTCACACATCAGAACACTCAGAGGAACCTGCCATCACTAGCCAGAGTGAGAGGAACCAGCTTTAACATCCCACAACCCAGAAATACAGCACAAACACACAGCCAGATCACTGTAAAACCTTCTATTAGCGCTCTGCTTTAGCCCTCATATGGCAACAAAAGGGTTAAGTTAACCACAGGGAAGGGAGAGTAATGGACCTTGGCTGAGATGAACGTAGGACTGTACAGTTACTGATATCACTGGTGTTAGGATGCTGAAAATGCTGGTAGCCCAAAAAGTTACACAGTAACTCACTGAGGAATACATTAGAAAACATATTTTATTGTTCAAAATAAAAGGAAATTGGAAGGTGTTTGTGTTGCCCCTTCAGATGAGCCAATAAGAGAGCTGGTGAGGACTCGTGGTGAGGTCTTTTCTCCTCGGTGGACAATGTGCTAACCTGTTAGTTTATCAGAGAGGAACCTTTTCATTGTTTCTAGACTGAACTGAGATGAGCCCAAGTAGTTAGCATTGTTTGCGACACAGGTGTGCTATCTCTGCCTTCTTAGTTGCGTCTTAAACACATCCTTGGCATCTCGCAGGCAGTTGGGTAATATAACACCTATATTTAATTTTCTGTCTATCCATGATGATGTTACACATACTCAAATAGCAATTACACAAACCAAGAATGGTTCACCGAGTACTTGAGTACCAGTGCACATCCTTAATATATACAAATATGTATGTGTGATTGTGTATACATTGCATTTACACTATATGGCCAAAAGTATGTGGACATGACATCTATATGAGCTTGTTGAACATACCATTCCAAAACCATGGGCATTAATATGGAGTTATATATGACATAACAGCCCCCACTCATCTGGAAACACTTTCCACAAGATTTTGGAGTGTGTCTGTGAGAGTTTGTGCCCATTCAGTCAAAAGTACATTTGTGAAGTCAGGCACTGATGTTGGACAACAAGGCCTGGTCTGCAATCAGCATTACAATTCATCACAAACATGTTCAGTGGGGTTGAGGTCAGGGCTCTGTGCAGGCCACTGGAGTTCCTCCACACTTGTCAAACCATGTTTTAATGGAGCACACTTTGGGCACAGGGGCTCAGCCATGCTGGAACAGGAAACATTCTTCCCCGACATTATCCTTCACTGGAACTAAGGGGCCCAAAACAGCCCGAGCCCATTATCCCCCCTCTACCAAACTTTACTTTTGGCACTATGTATTCCAGTATGTGGCGTCTCTTCAGTACAGTCCATTCTACTGTCACTGTTTGTCTACGGAGATTAAGTGCTTGATTTTATACGCCTGTCAGCAATTAGTGTGGCTGAAGCAGGTGAACTCAACAATGAATTAAAAGAGGTATCTACATACTTTTGGCCATATAGTGTGAATGTGTGTGTGTACATTTATATTTATATATATATATATATATATATATATATATATATATATATATATATATACACACACCGATCAGGCATAACACTATGACCACCTCCTTGTTTCTACGCTCATTGTCCATTTTATCAGCTCCACTTACTATATAGGTGCACTTTGTAGTTCTACAGTTACAGACTGTAGTCCATCTGTTTCTCTGATACTTTGTTAGCCCCCTTTTACCCTGTTCTTCAGTGGTCAGCACCCCCTTGGACCCTCACAGAGCAGGTACTATTTGGGTGGTGGATCATTCTCAGCACTGCAGTAACACTGACGTGGTGGTGTGTTAGTGTGTGTTGCGCTGGTACGAGTGGATCAGACACAGTAGTGCTGCTGGAGTTTTTAAACACTGTGTCCAGTCACTGTCCACTCTATTAGACACTCCTACCTTGTCAGTCCACCTTGTAGATGTAAAGTCAGAGACGATAGCTCATCTGCTGCTGCACAGTTTGTGTTGGTCATCCTCTAGTCCTTCATCAGTGGTCACAGGACGCTGTTGGCTGGATATTTTTGGTTGGTGGACTATTCTCAGTCCAGCAGTGACACTGAGATGTTTAAAAACTCCAGCAGCACTGCTGAGTCTGATCCACTCAGACCAGCACAACACACACTAACACACCACCACCACGTCAGTGTTACTGCAGTGCTGAGAATGATCCACCACCCAAATAGTACCTGCTCTGTGAGGGTCCAAGGGGGTGCTGACCACTGAAGAACAGGGTAAAAGGGGGCTAACAAAGTATCAGAGAAACAGATGGACTACAGTCTGTAACTGTAGAACTACAAAGTGCACCTATATAGTAAGTGGAGCTGATAAAATGGACAATAAGTCTAGAAACAAGGATATGCCTGATCGGTGTATATATATATATATATGTGTATACATACACACAACACATGACATGAGGAAAGGTCTGTTAGTTGTGTTGAAGATCTGTTAGTTTTATTGAATAAACAATGCTCTTATGCAAGGGAAGGTATATTTGAGAATGTGCCAGTGAGAGGAAGCAACTGAATTCTTTCTTTTTTTCCTTACTTCATGTTTTATGATGCTCTTTTACCCTTTATTTACATATTCACTAACAAAGGGCTTTATTTTGGTCTCTGCATGACTGTCTAGCATAAAAGGATATATTTTTTTTTTCAGCATGGAGGTCATGGCATCTTCTAAAGAGTTACATGTTTATTCAAATGTTATTATTTATTTATTTTTTTCCTTTTTGCACATTTTTCCTTTAAACCTTTCAGCAGATGAACACACCCAGGAATTGTTTACATGTCGGTGTCCTCTGTTCCCAGATTTGATGTTCATGGGCAGATGCTTTAGTGCGTTATTCCCATCTCTGGGCAGTTCTGTATTATTATTATTATTATTATTATTTTTTATTTTTTTTTTTTATTTTTTTGGTAGACAGGAAACAGAGCCACGTTTTATTAATGCATGAATAATTTACTGGGTCTCAGAAATGAAGCATATGGTTTGTCAGCTTTGAAAATATCCAAGCAGCATGAAAAAGAAAACTTGAGTTCCCCGACAAAAAGGAAAATACTCCTCATTTTTTCTGAAGATCAACACCACTGGTACTATTTTATTACATGAAATTACTCCATTTACACTGTGTTTCATGAGTGTTCAGTGTTACATGTCAGAGATTTCCCCTGCCTTTTGTATTTTGAACAGTCTGCTAATTTCAGGCCTACAGAAGCACAGAGGCCTAAAATCATCCATTTCCAGATGAGTTGGACTTGAGTTAAGACTTACATGATAAATATATACCCTAATATTCCTTATTATACTCAATATGTCTAACTATATTCAGTGTATACTATTGAGTATTAGCAAAGTGAAATGTGGCATCACCTCCCACGCTAAATCTTTCATAATGTTAATGAAATCTGTGCTTGGCACTTCCATCGCTGTTATAAATTCTCAAATTCTCAGAGGTGTGGAAACGTCACGATGGGTGTTCAGAGACGGACCATAGATGTTAATATGCTGGACGTAACGTTCAAGGCACAAAGCAAAGGTGGCGTGATGACAAATCATAAGGATTTCAGAACCTAATGCTTTTCTCCTTTGGAAACAACTGATGAAGGATGATGCTTCTTGATGCTTTCTATGCAGTGAATTATGAATGCAATATTTATGAATCGTGCTTGCGTGCAGTCCAAACCTAAAAAAATAAGCATCTGTTGGGCTGCATTTAGATTACAATTCTAATCCTACAGAAATGCTTCACCTAGCTAGTTTCGCGGCTTCTGTGCTTATCTAAACAAAGCAAACACAGTATATGCATATTCTATTGCCTGTCTCTGAATTCAGTAATTGTG